TTTTTCGGGCATGTTATTTTCTTTGATAGCTGATTAATTATTATACTGCTTAAAAAGTCATTTTCCACATGTCTCACAAATTGTTAAATGATTGCAGGTTTCTATTTCAAAGCAGAAAGTGCTCCCTAACTCAACAGATATTTATTCTCATTGTTCTGTTGGATTAATATCCAAACGTTCACTAAGGAAAACCAACCCGTTCATCTTGGACCCAATGAACGATGAAAGAGTGAATTTGACGATGGAAACTCTCAAGTATGAAAATATTGAATTATACAGTATCCTCGAAGAAAATCGTAAAATTTCCGAAAACAATTTTGCCTCTGTATATGGAAACAATTTTTCTAAAGTTTTGCTAAAGTCAGAGGCGGTTACTGATGGTATGTTCGAAAGAGTTAAAAGAAAAAGATGTGATATCTCACCACAGCTGTATCCTGGATCGGGAGACTGTAATAAACCGGGTAAAATAGAATGGATAATGAAGGAGAGCCCCGAAGAAAAATATTCGGGTAATTCGGACGAAAAGAGAGATATGCCAGACAGTAGAAAGGAAGAATCTGTACAAAGTTTTCACTTAACTCCTGATGATGTCGTGAAAGTTATTGGTCAGAGGCTGTTTCAGAAAGCAAGGCATACAATTCTAGAGTAAGTGTTTATATATACTTCTAACATTTGTGTGTGTGCTGCTGCTATAGATTTCATTTGTTCTCTATAAAATGTTGAGAGCCTAATTATGTTGAAAGGTATTAATTCATTATGGAATGGTTTAAAATCTACAGGCAGGTTAATATGAAACTCTCGGTGTTCAGTGTGATTTGGTAAAAAGAATAAATAAATAAAAGATAATCCTTTAGCAATTAAAAAACACCATTTCACGTATATGTTTTAATAGTCACTGGACTATTTTGCAGATCATGCATTTTTCAGGATCTGTTTGTTACCGTTTTTTCATTGCATGACTAGCACTGCAATTTTACTTCTGTTTCGCTCATCAATTTCACAAATATTTCAGCCAGCAGAAAACATTTTCTGGCCAGATACTTGAGTTACACATGCTTACAAAGGTAAAGATTGTTTTTTTCCCCTACCCGTTGTTTGGTGTTGCCACTTTACGATCTGAGATTAATTCTTAATTACAGATTACTACTTTCATTACAGGTGCAGAGATGTATGGCCAGATCTCAGCAAAAGCTGCCCCAGAAAAACTTCAATGCAAGCAAGCCACCAATCCAATTCCCCCCAATGGACAACCTTCTCTATGCAAACTCTCTTGACCAAACAAAAATCAATGCCCTTAAATCCAATACTAAAACTGTAAACTTTCCTCCAAATCTTCCAACGAACCCAACAATTATTCCTAGTACCAAGGCTAATAATATATTATCACCATATATTTTCCATCCACCTACTCGAAACCAATGGCTAGTCCCCATTAAATCCCCATCTGAAGGGCTCGTTTACAAGCCTTTTTTTCCGAGTAGTGGCTTTGCCCTTGGAAATGAAATTGACCAAGGTTATATCCGTCATTGCACAGTGCCACCGGTATATAATCCAAGTGCTGAGAATATTTCATCCAAAGAGGAGATAGTGGAAAAGGACTGTCTTGCCCTTTTCCCTATGACCCCATCAAGCGAGCTCGTGAAGGATGCAAATGAAGGATCAAAGTCGGGAGTGATCAGAGTTGTGCCCCACAACCAGAAATCAGCTCCTGAGTCGGCTGTGCGGATTTTCGAGTCTCTGCAAGAAGAGAGAAGGCTTCTTCTTCGACTTTCTTCATGCACGTGACATGTCGTGAGTGATCTTTTTATACTGATAGTTTCTTTTGGGTGAATTGTTTATTTATAGTGTAAATAAATATACTATACAGAACAGATGAAAAGGTGGAAAGGTGGATGAGTTTATTCAAATGTTTGGCATCTTTGTCATATGTAGATGATAGACCTGTTTTAT